ACATAAACATACATGAAAACTCTCAGTAGCATACCTATATTCTGCATATACACCTCTCCCCGTATTTCACATGCATACCATACATGCACACAAACACACACACGTGTGTGTGGTCTATTCTATTGACTGCTTTGGATTTTAAAGTATCATATGTGTAGCTACTTATTTATAATGGTACAGACCATGGGCATCCATATACACACAGCTGTGAGAATAATCATCAACAGAAAAACATACAAAATGCAGTAAGAAAGAATGTCGAGCGGCAGGGATGTTGGTGTCATCCCTGGACTATCAAATACACACATAAGTATGATTGGAGAAAGAGAACCTAAATATTTCACTGTCAGAGAATATAGAAAACAGTAATTCATTTCTATCTCATGTGCTTTAGGACAATGACAATTTAATACAAGGCCAGAGGATGTAAAAGAGATAAAAACTGAACAAACAGGGGCCAGTGTAATCAAAGATTTTCTCCAGAGAGCTGGCTGCGGCCGGAGCTCATATGCACTTATAACAGATCAACATTGTATTGTTTCTCTCTTCTCTGAATTTTCTATGAAGCAAAATTCAGAGCAAAGCTTATCTGCTGCAATGAATTTAAGGTTCCATCGAGATACCCAATGCCTTCCCCTTATTTCTAAACGCTTGAGAGGTGATTCTCAAAAGTTTATTTGATATTAATTGGTGTAATAGAAATCACTGCTATCAGCTGCCACTTGTATGGCAAAGTATCAACCATAAGCACAGATTTTAATTTATTTTATGAAATAATATAAGCAAAACATTCAGTGCCGAGCAGCACTTAAGAAGTAAAACAAAGAAATATTTTGTATAGTCACTAGGCTGAAACAAATGTTGAGGAATTTTTCACAAGTGATATGGACTTGAGATTGGGCATTATGCCTACCTTCCAAAAGAACGGCCTCTTCTTTGTCTGTAGTTCTTGCAGGAGTGAGGTATTGTGAAAGTATTGTTAAACAGACTCAGAGAAGTTACCTGCCCTCTTTGATGAATAGCACCATGTACCTAAAATTAATTGCAAAAGTATGGCCCGGCTAATGAGATGGTCCTTATCTTTTTTCAGCACAGGAAGCACAAGTATTTTTTTGCGGGCTCAATATTTTACAAAAAAAAAAAAAGCCTAAAGTATTATTAACTCAGTAAAAATCTGACTAAAAGACCTCAAAGACACAAAAGAACATAAATTCTAAGACCTGGAAAATTTGGAGTTAAAACTAATTTCCTGCATTATTTTCTTTTTAAGCCTTTAATTTATTTTCTTTTTTACTTTAAAAAGAATAACCACCATTTCCTACCCCCCTGGATTCAATTAGCAATTTTTAAAGCTGAATTACAATACCATCCTTTATAAGATGGCCAATATATATCACAGGTCAGATTAAATCAAAGAAATATATCAAAAGCCGTCAATTTAGAATAAAAAAAAAAAAAGAACAATGATACCTTATTGGGGGAAAAACACTGGAAAAATGATCATCCATGCAAGAGAATTAATGGATATCCACAAGGGCTTTGCTAATAACATGGGTTAATTACCGCTGCAAGACACTAGGCTCAGTAAATAAAGCTGCAGTGCCATAAACACATTAAGATGAGAAACCATCCCTGTAAGGACCAGCCAACACCATCACCCTTGCCTCTGTCCAGGAAATGGGAAGCTGTTTTCCAGCCCTTTCTGTAAAAAGAGGATTTCTAAACTTACCACCCAATGTGTATAGGGTAATACATAAATACACTGACACAAAGGGCTAGTGAAGCACCGGGTGCCCAGTTACTTACTCACCACTCCCATTCCACATTGATTCCATTAACTCAGAACACTTTTTTGCTTACTCCCAGAAGAAAAATCATAATGTTACGTAATACACACTGCCTGGCTACTTTGACCATATACAGTTTGGGATATATACAGTGGTTATTTAATTTTTAGAGAAATAGAATTGATCTGTTCTCTGTAGTGACGTGAATGGGCAAGGTTACCGGGCTCTACAGCTTAGGAGCACTTACCCCTAAGTACAGCTGGTTGTCACTTTCAGCAGTTTACAAAGAAATCATCCAAAAGCCCCTACCTTTAAGTCTGCAGGTGTTTGCAACAGATTTACAGGGAAGAAATAGGAAGAAAAGTAATATGAGCTCCAAGTCTGGAGTTTAAGTATTCTTTCTTAGGAAAATGAACTTTAAGTGTCTGTTCGTAGTTCTCAAATAATATCACATCTCAGAGGACTCAGGCAAGCCCCCATCTTTTTTAAAAGAATTGCATCTACTCTGATTTAGGCTTTCTGTTGCTGTTACTGTATACATTTTTCCTTCCTGCCTATTTTTCAGTCCTTACATTTTGACATGATAGGATTACTTTTGGATAGTTGTATTTCAACTTACTTTAGCTTTTAACAAGGAGAGAGGAGGCAGAGGGAAAAAAAAATCAAACCCTTAAAGAGAAAGAGTAGATCTCACAAAATAAAACTTGCATAGCTCCAAACAGGGAATCTTAAAACACAAATCTGTTTAATTTTCGACGCCTGGATTTCAATGATCAGGCTGAAATTTACTAAACTGTTCCCTCTTTGCCTTGCCTGTTTTGGAGTGTTTCAATTGCCTTTCCTTCTTCCAACAGCTGTGACAACTGTTAAAACAGTCAGTAAAATTAAGTCCGCTCTATAATCCTGTAGTCAATGTTACATTTTAATCAGAGGTTGAAAGGGAATCATGTGATGAACACACTCATTTAGAATGATCAGACTGACACATATGTCAAAATGAGCAGATATATTATTTTCATCTATTTATGCTATCAGTTATTACTGCTATTAAATGTGAAACAAGCTTTCAAGTATTATGTTCTTTAATGTGCTGGCACATTTCCTAAAATAAAAAAATACATAGTTAGAGGTTAACATCTTAGGCTCTCCTAATGGTGGTCAATAAATTGTATGAATCTTTTTAACAGCCTCCGAAGTAGAAACTGTCCAATCTTTTCCGGCGAAACTGCATAACTCTGGTTTCATTTCTATGTATACACACACGTGATGGGGTTTAACCCAGCACAATTACTATGAATATTAATAGCATGTATAAATTCTGTGGTTTATTAATTGAGACAGAGAGGCAGATGCGTTGCTAAGCATTAGATCTTTCTGTCTGTCCAGTGAACCACGTAACCATCAGAACTGCATCCAGACAATAAATCTGTATTTTTTAAAGATGACTTTTAATGGAGCCCAAAAAAAGAAAGCTAGTTTGAATCTTGCGCCCAAGCCAAAAGGACATGTGCCCTGATTTCATTTAAATGCATCTGCTTTAAGAGGCTTATCTAAACTAATTATTCAAATTAGCTATAAGAAGTTAAATTCAAGGAAACTGCAAAGAAGCCCGGGGTGGAGGGGAGATTTTTAAAGTTTGTTTTGTTTATCTATCAATGAGAGAAAGTTCAGAATCTGGGTGAGCTTGGATAATGCATCCTTCCTGATGTGAAGACATTTTAAACTCTCCAGTTCTCCAGCCTCAGGTGCGCTAACCTTTCAACTGCACTTGGGTGGGCCGTCCCACCTTTGTTTTATTTTTCATTTTTATTTTCACAGAATTTAAGGGTGTTTCTTCCTTGGAGTGTTTTAAACTGACGCAAGCACAGCCTTCTCACCTTTCAGTCCCTCCTACGTCCATCCCTCAGCTAATATGCTGGTGCGAGTGTGTATGTGAGTGTGTACGTGCAAGCATGCATATGTACACGCGCGCACACACTCGCGCACACACACGAGGAGCCCCTGAGACTGCAAGTCACTTGTCATCTCTTGCTTAATTACAAAGCCATGCGATACGCAGTCACTAAGGACAGCTAGTGGACATCTACCTATAATGCACTACCTCCTCTTCTCTAGAGTTTTATATTTTCTTCACCATCTATAGAGAGAAATGTTTGCCAAGAGCACTCTTTTCAGAATTATAGCAGTTGGTATTACCGTAATGTGAAAGAAAGCACAGCAATTTAACTGACTCAACAGAAAGAGGAACCAGTGACAGCTCCTGTGATCTACTAATATTTTATCTTAACAGGGGACTGAAATTAAGTTTAAGACTGACTCATTTACACAAGAATGCCTAATTTACTCTTTTATCCTCTCCTCATTTGTCCCTAAGCTTTGGTAACCCAAATGTATATATCTTCCTGTGCAGAAAGATTATTTATAAATACGAATTAAACTGCATCTAAGAACCAAAGTACTTTTCTGCATTTTCTGGACCTGATATGTGAAACAAATCCACAATCTCAGCATTGTCTAGTCAAGGGGAAATTTAAAAAGTCACTACTGGTTCTTCTTTAGTTTTTCCCTCCCCTTAAATATTTATAATGTGTGAAAATCTCATGTTACTTAATGGACTGATTTGTCAGTTAAGTGCTGACTTAATGCTAACCATGCAAATAACGTTATTCCAGCCCCGAATTGTACAGGGCTAGTTTTTAAATTGTTCTCTGAAGGAGAATTAGTAAATGTGCAATTTTGCCTCTAACTCTGCACCGTAAGAAATGACAGGGAGCTGAAAATATCTGTCAAACGGCAAATACATAAGAGGCACTCAATAGTATAAATCATTTTGAATATTGTATTTTAAAACATCTTTCCTTGGGAAAATGGGTCCTAGTAAAAGATGCATTTTAACAGTTCACTAAGCATTTGTGCCAAGTGCCTATTCTTAGCACCTGAATAAGAAGTGACTGTCACACAGCTGTTTTACTGACAGTCACTGAGCTTTGCCTCAAAGGTAACATTGTAGCCAGAGAACAATTCGCGACTTACTGAATTAGGAGATCACCCTCAACACAAAAGGCACAAGACAGACACAAACAAGCACTCGTGCGCGCAAAACACCCAGGGCATTACCTGAATCAGGGCGCAAAGATCCATTCTGGCCACCCCCACACACGCACCCCCACGACGAGTTTAAAAAGGAAAGGAAAAAAAAAAAGAGGTACCTACTCTTCCTCGTAGTGCAGGGAAAAAGATTCAGGAAGGCAAAGTTCTACCGAATCCATGTGCGACCGGCAACCATTATTTGTGCACCCCTTGCTATAAATCAAAGTTTCCTTGACAGAGCACAGTGCAATTAACACAAATGTTCTCCTAGTGACAAGCCTATGGGCACAGCCAGTTGGGACCAAAGCTCTCACACTCTCCTAATCAAGGACTTAAAGCCCCGATTGGAGCTTATTAATATGAAGTAGAGCTTAACATATGCAGTCCCACCGGCCCAGGCGCGCAGCCGATTGGGGGGCCTCTGCCCAATCAGGAGGGAGGCGACGGGAGGCTGCGAGGAGCTGCGGAGCCAGGCAGGTAGGAAGGGTGCGGAGGAGCCGCGGGGGCTGCAAACGGCGCGGAGAGGGCAGGGCGGCGGGGGCGCGGGCTGCGGACGCTGCCGCCGGACCCCGGGCTTTGCCTTGCCTTTCTTTTCCTTTCTCTTTCTTTCTTTCTTTTCTTTTTTTCCCCCTCCCTCTGGGAAGCTAGAAAAGAAACCTAACTAACTTAACTCTCTAAGCACTGGAGGGAATCCGGCTTGGGTTTCTGACCTAAGATCTCTGTTGCCTTGAACAGAAGAACTCACACGCAGACTCTCAGTTAATTTGGGGAAAGGATTCTGCGGAAGGTAGAGAATTAAGTTTGTCCTGCCGTTGTCTGTGTTTTATTGCACTCGGGGCTCCTTATTGAGGGCTGGACTTTCTCATTTGTCCGTCACCGTGTCGTTGCCTGTTTTCCTGCTCTCTACTGGGCATTCAAAAAAAAAAAAAAAATCAAAGACTTGCTTCTAAATTGTTCGGGCATGTGAACTGGGATCGTCATGTCTGAGGTGGAACGCAGTTTTACGCAACTACAGAAGAGGAAATAGTGCATCAGTGCGATTTGAGAGAATGCCTGTGTAAATAAATTCTGGGTGTAAATAAATTCTTTACCTGCTATTGCCTCTCTGCCTATAGATATAGGATGCATAGCTTTTGAAAACAAACGTAAACAAGTGCAGAACAAATTGGCTCCTCCTGTTTCAGGGGTGAGAGACTGAGGGCTGGAGGGGAACTACTACAGGGAAACCGTCTCAGGGCATTTTCACAAAATAAAGACTACATTTGTTTGTTGGGAGAGCGTTACCCACCAGTACCCTAAAAGTGTTCTTAATCACATACTTATTTCAGTACAAGCTTATAAACTGGGAGACATTTATAATTATACATATGATTTTAAACCCAAAACATCAGCTTGAAAATCAAATGCAGTTTTTGTATTTGTCTTCACACGTAACACACCCTGAATGCTTTTTTAAAAAAAATTAACTCAGAAACATTTTGTAAATCGTCACACAGTCTGGTCGTTGAAAGGACTAGGTTCAAACAGAAGTGCTTTTTAAAGAAAAGAGAATATAAAAAGAGAAGGGTGTTTTTTTCCAATAGACTATAAGTGTGTTTTTAGTTTCCATATAACAAAGAGTTTTCTTAAGTCCTATTTTTAAATACAGGATTTTTTTATATGAGCAAATGTACGTTAGAATAGCTGCCAGCTATTTATGGCGAAGAGATAACTGCTACTTTATGGAGAGTGGAAACCCCACAATTGTGATAGAATTCAGTTGCAGGGCTTTTACCTCTTAAGTCCTGCATGTTATAAATAGTATGATCTTTGAGATCAAAATAAATTAGTTCAGATACCTGGTGTGTGTTAAATTCACTAAATCAGAACTCAACTCTTTCTCTCCACCCTCTCAAATTTTCTAGGTCTTTAAAAAACAAAACACTAAAATAGAACAGCCACATTAAAATTCAGAATAGAAAAATGACAGACATGATTTGGTCCCCCCACAGAAGAAAGCAATTTGCCTGCCCTGTATTTAGCCAGATTTAAGATATGGGCCTGATTCCTTTTATTTGTGGTCTAAATGCATACAAGTTTCTAGTTGAGAACTCACACAGCAAAAAAAAACTGTGCCTAAGAATACTGTATAAAAGCAGGTAGTAAAAGCTTAATTACCAGTAGCATTATGCTGTCTATATTGTTAAATGTGAACTCTGCAATTAAGATGTAAATTTGGTTGTGAGCAGTGAATTAAAAGCGCTCTGAGATGTAGAAAATCCAAGCATTCTGCAGACACTCGGAAAAAAAAAAAAGATGTGTCTATTCACTCGAAATGAGACATGCAATCATTTTATAATTTAAAAAAATGAATATAAAAGCATTTGAAAAAGAGACATGATTTTTCTAAAACACAATAAAAGCAATATGGAAACTAATGCTGCATTAGAAAGACAGAAAAATATCTTTGGTTCAAAGATTCCTATCCTGATTTGTGAATACACTAAAATTCTCAGAGTAATTAATAGATCCAGTTTTACACATTTTTAAAAAGAGATAAAAAAAAAGTTTCCTTCTTATTTTGTCCAGGGACACTTAAAAAAATAAAAATTATTTAATGTACTCAGTGCATCTTAATGCACTCAGCACGCTCAGATCTCGCACCTGTGCAGAATACCGTACTGTATTCAGTTTCTTTGCATTATCATGCTGTGACAGAGCCTGTCTATTACTCCTTTGAAATGGCTTTTTAAAGACAAGATTTGTAGTCAATTATTTACCAATGGACCTTAAGTCACCAGGTTTCATGAGAGTTAGCTTTTATTTCCCAGAATTTTCTTATTTCTCGTAGGGTACTTACTTGACCGCTGATGAGCCATTTGATTTCATTGGTATATATTTTTAAACATATTTAGACTCTTATTCACATGTAAGTCTTTTTTCTGTGCTTGCAGAGATCCATGTGCAAACACGCACGGTGTAGTCCCCACTGATCTTTTACTAACCATATTTCATCTATGCAAGGTGCAGTGTCTATTGAGCTAGCTGCTTTCTGAATGACCAGAAGTGCACTAGGTTGGACGAGCTGGTTTGTTTTCCCTTAGGATCAATGTGTCACCTCTACAAGTCAAGGACCTAAGATTACACATACTGTCTTGAATCAGGTTTTACCAATTTAAAATTTAAAATAACATCTACTGCGCTAAACTTGCGAGACAGCTTCCAGAATATTTTATAAACACACAGCTTAGTCATCTCAAGAATCTTCCCTAGTCACAGAGGTTTTTCACCTTGAAGGAAAAACGAGTGGCTAATCAAAGGAAATAAACACACTATGTGCAACGTTGAGCACAAGCCTTTTAAGAATCTCAGCTAGGAGGATGTGCGAGGGGCAGGGGAGACAATGAAACAAATAGATGAACAGCCTAGAACAAACATATATTGCTCACCAGTCTATACACTTCACAATCTTGCCACAAGGAGTCTACCCAAAGCAGGATAAATGGAACAAAACAAAAGGATTGTTTCGCAAAGAATATTAACAAGTAAGGTATCAGTCTATTAGGCATCAGACCCTGGGTCCACGCATAGATTCAATCTCTTCTTCTTTAAACAATGCAGTTT